TCACATTTGCAAGTTCCACCTTTGAACTAGACTACAGATCATCAATTTCTTTAGTGGGAAAAAAGATAAACCCTACCTTCCAGCTTCTTTTTTAAAACAACCAAGGGATCTCATCATTTATGATACTGTATTTCAAAATTGAAAAATACAGGGAGGAAAAGTGGAAAGATCATAGATATGTCTGTTTTGCCACACGTCTATCCTTTGTAAACCACACTTGAGATGAACACACACACACACACAGTACACACAAGCACACAAACAGCACTCAGTTACTACAAGTATGAACTGAATTAACTAAAAAAATTAACTATCACAAAATACAGTGATTGCCACAAAAGTAACTGACTTTCAGAAACTATTAGACAAATTAATGGAAGGTAGTACTATCACCATCTATCCATGATAATTAAATGGAACTTTCATATTAAGAAAAACAAAATAATGCATCTTTTTGAAATACTCCTTAAAATCAGATGCTGGGAAAAAGGTCACAGGCAATAGCTGATGCCATCATGCCCTGCTGATAAGCTGTCCAAAAGTGTCTAGAAGACCATTGTTCACTTGATGAACCTTTGTTCTGACAAAACATGAACTTTCTTCCAACAAATTCATGTTTTCTGTTATAATAGGAAGAATATTATTGATGAAGAAAACCTGATTGCCCATCCCACAGCATCCAACACAGAAACAAAATAGAAGCCTCACGCAGAATAAAGTGCATTTAGTGTCATATCTAAGGAGAGACTTCTAATAATGGAAATCGGATATTTGCGGTACACCTATGTATTTTTCAAATATTCTATAATACATGGCTGTTTCATGCTTCCTTTCCTTTCCTCAGGCATGCAAGAAAAATAAGAGGGAGAAGAGACAACAAATGAGAGCAGCTATTCAGGATCAGGCATCAGCACCAGAATCCCAGCTGACATCTTACTTCCCTCCCTCCCAAGCCCTACACCAATATACACCCTTCACATGGGGGGGCAGGGGGGATTTTAAAATATGAACCACGGAATGCATCCCACCATTATCAGATTCTGCTTCTTTGTACCATCTGGTTGAAAAACTAATGGACTTCCTTTATACACAAACATTTTCAGGATACAGAAGTATTAGCTCTGAACAGAATTAGAAGTCATTTAAGGAATATTCATTGCAAACACTAAAATATTTTAAAGTAAAACCCTGTTTCCATTTTCCTCCACTATTAGCGACCGCCTTGTGATTAATACACCCCCACAGCGGAAGGACGCGTGGATCCAGATTTGGCCTCCACAGTCACTTACGGACTCACTGTTAAAACCATGTTTGTGGAAGACAATCTTACTCAGCTATGAGTGATCGCCAAAGAAGAAGAAGAATATATTCATGCTTCCTTTCTCTTTCCCAAGCAAGCAAGTATTCCAGCTTGATTCCACTGTCATTGTTTCTGTTGCAAAGGCACCGTGTGGCCCATTTGTGGAGTGTAATTTAACAATGTTGCTTACAAATAGAACTTTCCCCATTTGTGGTTTTCAAAACAGCGATTTTCCTTCATTATATATCACTGCAGTTGTAGTACAAGCTTCCTTTCCGCCCACCCCTGGGAATATTTACTGACCAACAGGAAATTACACAAAAACATTACACAAAAATATGTATGTACACAACGCATGCAGCTAATGACTTAGGTAATGGATACTCAGGCTACACTGTGCCTTTCAGCCATTTCAAATGCAGCATCTCTGTACAGCAAACCTGTGGGGTGCTGTTCCAAAAGAAGGTGGTTTATAATATAAAGTGGTCTGCATTTGGTAGGCCAGTTTGGTAGATCAGTATTACAGGCAAGCAGCACTGGGAAATTCTGCAGTGACAGGGCCAAGGACTCCCCAAGAGCATAGCCCTTGTTCATTTCAGTGATGGTTACATAGGAGAAGTTACAATACACATATATTAGAACTCTTTCTGTCACACACAGGCACAAATACACTCTGAGCAGTCACTGCATTGGCTCCCATTTTTCCATTTTAGCACACCAGAAGTATGCAAAACATATCTAGGAAAAAAATTAAGTCATTTTGTTTGTTTGAGATAGTCCCTTCACATTACCAAGAGGCCAGGGTGTGCCTGGAGCTGCCCTGATGAGCTGGGTGCTATATGGGATCATATATCAGTTACCGTATTTTTTGCTCTATAAGACTCACTTTTCCCCTCCTAAAAAGCAACGGGTAATGTGTGTGCATCTTATGGAGCGAATGCAGGCTGCGCAGCTATCCCAGAAGCCAGAACAGCAAGAGGGATTGCTGCTTTCACTGTGCAGCAATCCCTCTTGCTGTTCTGGCTTCTGAGATTCAGAATATTTTTTTTTTCTTGTTTTCCTGCTCCAAAAACTAGGTGCGTCTTGTGGTCTGGTGCGTCTTATAGAGCGAAAAATACGGTATGCCATAGAAACACATAAGAAGAGCCTGCTGGGCTTGAACTAAAAGGTCTTTCCAGTCCAGCATTCTGTTCTCATGCTGCTCAACCAGATGCCCAGAGGAAGCCCACAGGCAGGAGACAAGTACAACAGCATTCCCGTCGATGCTCAGAGTGAATGCTGTGAAGCTGAAGCAAAAATAAAAGCTACTTTCAAATTTCATTCCAGTGTTCTATTTGTCCCATGTTTCAAGGTGCTCACTCTGTGGAAAGAGAAGCTACAATTATTGGTATTTTCTCATCAAGGTGAATATTTTAACGATCACCATATCAAGGACATGCGTTACAAACCCTTTCTTGTTTGAAGAATGTCACGCAACACTGTCTCCCTAGCTTCACTGAACTCTCAATTTCCTACCATCAGCAGTGTTGAAAGTATTATCAGAGACCAGCCATTTTGCTGGTTTCTCTCGAATCTTCACTGAAAGGAAATTCTTTGTGTTAAACCCTGATCCTTGAACAAGGCACTGGGAGTCAGCCAAGCAGTTTGAAGAGTGAAGATTCACTTTGGCAATGTCGAAAAAAAAGAAAGAAAAAAGAACCACCTCATTTTGCATATGTTTGATACTAGGATGGCAGGAGAGCGAGAGAGAGAAACAGCCTGGCATGAATGAAAGTGATAATCCAAGGTTTCACTGACACATCAGTGCACATTAATACACTTTGCCATTTCCTTTAGCATGTGACAGTCTACCTAGCCAGAGGACAGCCTGGGAAAGAGAAAGAGGGCTGCCAGTCCCTCTTCTAATCCAGGACAAGTGACAGCCAAGTTACACTCAGTGAAACTGCAACATATCAACAGCTCTATCAGGCTAGAGGCACATTTTGACATAATAATGAACGGCTGGGAATGAGCTACTTTTATCTAGGTCAGAATGAGAGATCACAGAATGTTGCGACATGTTAGTGGAGGACAGGAAGGGTGGGGGGAGAGGACATCACAGCAAAGCATTCAGGATCACCAGGAGAATTTCCTAACAGTGTGAGGAGACAAACTCATTAAATCTCTTGACATCAGCTAATTTTTTGTCACCCAAATGAAAGGCAATTACTCATCTGGCACATTTCAACACTGTGGCACCAAACCCCGATTCTGGTTCAAACAAAGAAGATGAAACATATTTCATAGCAACTTCATTTGTAAGGAAATGCTAGACAGAAAAGGAGTAAGAAACAGGCGTCTCTGATAGCTAGAGCTTGGTACACACATCCGCAGACATTTACAATAGGCATGCTTCTGCAGAGAATGTGAAGCAAGAGATCAGGAGAATACATTCCATTTTAAAGGTGGGGAGAGGGAGAACTGCCTGCTACTTAGATAGGGGGTAGAATAGTGTGGAAGAGGGTGGCTGCCTTTAAATATATATATTTTCAGTGCAATTCAAGGAATGATGGAACTGGTTTTCTGTACATGAAAATGCAAACAGATTTTGGAAATGGATTAAATATCATTCATCATTAACCGGAATTTGACACACAGGTGGAAAATAAACCTATGAAATGAAAGGTCATCCCAGCATTCTTTACAAATTAATTGTAGCCACAATCCTAAACAAATTTACTTGCAAGTGAGTCTGCAATCCTAATCCCACTTCTCTGGCCATAAACCCCACTGAATTCAATAACACTTCTGATTAGACATGTTGGGATTGTCTAAAAGGCCTGTTCCCCCTAACAAAAATCCTGCCTATGCCCATGACTGTTAGTCACCACTGTGATTTATTATTTAGATTATTTATTTATTATTTAGAAAGTGCCTAGTATGTGCTTGGGGCTGTTTAGAAATTAAAAAACGATTTTAAAACCAACCTAGTCCCTGCTTCCTCCAGTTGGCAATCTGAAAGGTAAGCCCCGTTATATCAGCAAACTTACTCCAGAAGTCAAGAGTAAGGGGCCCTGAGAAATCAGGGTAGTGTTGCACATGTTCCCACTCCTTGAGCAAGTATTTATCTCTGTGATTTAAGAACTGGGGTGTTAAAATATTCTCTTGAATCTGTTCCAGCTGATGAAAGTGGCATTTACTCTCTTCCTGCCACATGAAGATGCTACCACAGCCATCTCGACCCTTAAATCTGGCATTAAAAAGTAAACTTTTTAGGAAAAGGAGGAATCGGCCTTAGGCTGCAATTTTACACTGAAGTCATTGTGTTAAAAGTCTGTGGAGCTATTCTCCAGTTTGTAGGATATAGATAAAACTGTGATATACATCCTATTAACCACATCATTAACAACGAATGGATAAATAAATACATTTCAATGAGAAGGGCATCAAATATTGTAATGCAACTTGTGGAGAGAGAAGAAAGGTGAGTCTAATTTATCTGTGTACCTGCATTGGTCTAGTACCTATTAGCACAGCAAAGGGATAGGAAACCTTTGACCCTCCTGGTGTTTTCAGGCTTCAACTCTCATCAGCCCCAGCTAACTTGGGAAGTGGTCAGGAATGGTGGGAGTTGTAGTCCAGCAACATCTGATTCCCCATCCCTGAGAAAAGCAAAACCAAGATGGGCATTGCTGGCACAGCTCCAGTTACTGCTTAATCTGCCCATGGTTCTCCCCATCTATATGTACCTTATTTTTCAGGCAACTGATTCTGCACGCCCGACTTGGTTTCAAGATGCTGAGATGGAGAAGATTTTGTGCAGATGTAATCCAGATAAAACAACAGAAGACGCCCGTGTCAGAAAGACAATCACAAAAATGGGCTCTGTATGTATATTTATCATTACTTCTGACTATGAATTATTTACTCACAGCACAGTAACAGTAGGAACCGCTATCCTGAAATTACCTTACAGACTCAGATTCCTTACTGCTGAGGAATGGAAGAAACACACGAAATAGTATTAGTATGCTTCCATGTCAGTTTGGGTCTTGGTCTCTTTGCTAAGGCTGCCAATAGGATGCCAAGATTGTGCCAGTGTGTGTGTGTGATCTGCTTTCTGTCACTTCAGTGATGTCAGGCAATCATAAAACACAGTTTAACTGGCTGGTTAGGTTGACTTTATGGCTTCTCAGCACCGCTGGGGTAGTTAAAAGCAGACATAACATGTCAGTAAATCCAGCCCATGGGAGATCACTGCTGCCAAACGCCAAGTCTGCTTTGCAATACAAACAGTTGTTCATTGAAAACTAGGGCTGAGCCCAACCTCCTCCCAACACTGGCCACCAAATAACCAGCAGATGGCAGTGACACTTGGCAACTCCCTGCCCGGCTGGGATTCATGCCAAGAGCCAAGGAATGTAAGGCCCTGATCCTATTACCCATCCTCTGAGCTATAGTCAGTCCCCATCTGGAAACAAATGCAAAGATTCACACAGCTTTATTTTCAAAGGCAGCAAAAGTAATTACGAGGGGGCTTTTTCTCGTCGTTGTTGTTGTTGTTGTTTAGGAAGGAAAAGGGAGGGTGGGGGAAGCTTACCAGACCAAATATCTCATTTCCTTTAAAATAATCTCTCTCTCTGCAAGTGTAACAGACTGTACAGACATTTTACAAGAATAAACCAGCTTTTTGGATTCTTATCTACAAATTGAAGAGCCTGGGGATCCTTAGTGCAAACTACCGCTGACCCGCAGCTTCTAAATCGGTAAACTTTGGATAGCCTAAGCGGTCCATTAGAGTCAAACAGATGTCCTCGATCTGCTTAATTTCCTCGCGAGGCATCTCATGTCGCCAAGCCTGGATGCTGGCCGGGGAGACCTCTCCTTCATAAGGAAGGTAGAAAAGGTTGGTGGATGTGGCAAATAGGATTTGGTTTAAGCTAGCGGGAGACAGAGGGATGCCCAGAAAAGCATAGATGGATTCGGCCACCTTCTGGGGGAAGTTGACTAGGTCCTCAAACTTGAGCAGCCGGTAATTCTCTGGCAGCAAATCCCCATTGAGTCTCAGGGCTGCCGCCGTGTTTGCCAGCCACAAATGGGACATCACAGAGACAGCGTTTGAATTTGAATCGGAGAGTTCCTCCCTCAGCGATTCGTATTCAAAAGCATAGCCTGCATTTAAACTACACTTTTCTTTCCTGCCCTCTGCTTTAAACAGCATCGCTAGGCGCTGGGGAACCTTCCTCAAGGAGTAAAGGCTTGGCTGGCTTTTGTGCAGTACTGAGTAGATCCATGCCCGGGGGTCTCGTACTACATAGAGCGCTCTCAAGGAAGCGCCTATGATTTCTTGAAAGAAAGGCAGCTTTAATGTCCAGCTCCCACTGCTCAGGCTAAGCACGGGGCGTGCATTGGGATAAGAGGCTATGTGTCTCCTGAGCTCCCTAATGTAATCAGCATCTTTCTCTGAACTCCCTCTCAATCGGCTTCTTTGCTCTGCTATGGATTCTCTTTTTCTGGGCCGCCGCTTTTTATCCTGTCTGGCAGCAGGATGCTGCGCGGACTTACTTCTGCTGGTTTCATGTAAATGGATATTCTGAAGGTGGAGTTTTGTGTCTTTGACTAGGGAATGCAGCCAGCCCTGGAAGAGCCGGAAACGGCCGCTCCGAACATCGGATGCCTTCCACTCGCAGGCATCGACGAAGGAGTCGATCTCAAACTCGGCTTCGGGGACGTCAAGGTAGCCTGAAGGGATCCTGATGTATAGGAAGTCACTGCTGTTGAAGAACAGCTGCTTCAGGATTTCCGCACCTGAGCTGGGCAGGGAGGTAATGACCACATCAGGCAAAGTCACAGGGTGTGCCTGGTCCTTCCCTGTGCTGTGCTCCGCACTCATCGCGTCGCTGCTCCACTTTCCGCAGATGGGCTGAGTGCAAGAGCTCCACACATCAACCAGCTCGACAAACCACAATGTGATGACCAGGATGAGGATCCAACGCAAGAGTCTGCTGAAGGAAATGTAAAAGTGCCACTGGAAGGCCAGCAAAGCCAAGCTAATCCCTAAGATCAACCCTGCAACGACATTCACTTTAAATCCAAAGGGGAAAGCGATCCTGTTACTGGGTGCCTCTTTTGATACAGTTTCGGTGCCCAGGCCAAACCTCGTCACCTTTCCCTGAGTGGCTACCTTGGCGTAGCCACCAAAGCCTAAATAGCTGAACCTTGTCCTCAGATTTAGATAGTCTGTAACGACAGAGAGAACTGTTTCTGTGTTGTTGACATTGAGAGAAATCTGATACCCTGATCGGGCATCGTCAACAAACCTACAGCTAGAAATATTGACATACGGCCCATAGAAAATGTAGGCAATCCTTGCCACGGTGGTCTTTGCAGAGAAAGTGACATTTACAAACTGAGTCCACCGCTTTTTGAATTCGGCCGCCTGCTCTGCTTCTTGTATCCTAGCGACAGGGCTATTCCCATGATGGTCAAACCAAAACATTTTATAGTGGGCATCCCAGACGTCCATCATGGCTCCATTATATTTGCTCATAAATTTATATGGTACGTATTTAAAGTCAATGTCAAGGTTATGAAAAAAGGCACTGATGGAGTCAATGGGAGAGTCCTCCTCTTTCTCCACATGGTCCACCACTAGCAACATTTGAGGATTCAGCAGGAGCAGAGAACGGTACACGCTTTTCAGCTTCATTGCTGATGAGTAGGCAGGCGCTGCCTCACCGCTCACAAACATCATCTCCTCATGCTGAGAGGATGTAATGACCTCACCAGCAGCTTCCCCAACTTCATCCCCAGTCCACTTAAGCCACTGTGTGCATTCCCCAAGCTGACCCTCCCAAGGCTGATTGCACTGGCTTGTGGGAGATGGAGCGAACACCAGGACGTTATTCAGGTGGCTCAGCTTGGGTCCATAGAGGGCCTCGGAGACAAACACCTGCCCATTAGGAGCAAAGGTAAAAGAGTTCTGATCTGGATGTTCATGGCCTGGGTTGAAGCTTCGCCACCCATCAATCCAAGAATAGGGCTGAAAATGGACTATGTCATAGACAGCACGGCCACCCAGCTTCCCAGATTTAAAAGAAACAAAGGTATTTGTCTGAGCGTTTGGCAAACCTGCTCCGTACGTGACTACCCCCCAGTTAGGGAACACATGCATTTTAGGAGTGCCGTAATCAGGTGGAGGGTGGGGAGTTAACCCCGGGTCGTACCATATGTACTCGGTGTGAAGCGTGCTCCACCTCTGGGCAGTGGAGGGCACCATTGGACCATCCTTTGGGCGGTGCTTTCTAATTTGTTGTGCAAGCCAATTGCCTACCCCACTCTTCAGCACAAACTTATCCAGGAAAACCAGCTGGCTTTCAGGGCCGTAAAACCAATTGTAATTTGAATCGGCTATGCCGACAGTCCTCTGAAAGCCCGGCAGAAGGGTAGCGTAGTAAAACCAAAAGTGCATTTTGAGCCAGTGGTTTTCGAGGTTGTTAATCCCAAAGTGGCGCTGCGCCAGAAATATATACTGAGTGATCGATTTGGCGGTGTAGCTACCGTAAGCCACGCCTTCGTCCAAAGAGCCATCGACAATGTGGTTGAGCAAAAACATGGTTTTCTCCATCACGTCCACCACGGCGTGTTTCCAGGCATTTGCTTGGGACTCTAGGCCCCCTCCAGTGACCAGGGCCCCAATGAGCAATGCCAGCATGTTAGTGGCCTGGTGGTTATGAAGAAGCTGCTTGCCCCAGGAACGGACTTTGGAATACTCGTACATTTCCTCAGTCACAGCCCATATCTTGGCAAAGTATTTTTGCCTTCTGACATCATCCAATGAGGCATATAAAAAATCAAAAGCGGTGGCAAAGCCGGTTAAGGAGTGGCCCAGAGGAACTTCGTCACCTGGGGCATTCTCCACCAGCCAGTCTTTGTATCCAGCCATTCTGTCCATATACTCTAGCACAAAATCAAAGGCAGCTTTATCTTCCGGGCACAGGAGGCAGTAAAAGGCTAAAGGAGGGAGATTGTTCCCGTATATCTCATTCCACTTGGCAGCGAAATCAGCATGCTTGGGGGGAGGGAGGTAGTATGATGGACTGGACAGCATCACTGACACCGCATTTCTGAGGGCTCTGAAGAGGTGGAGATGGCTGGTGTGAGATTTCTGTCTCAGCGCTGGGAGCTCTTCAGCACTAAAATATAAGCTTGGGTGAAGCACGGCCTTTTTCGTCTTCTGACTAGTCCTGAAATCATCTAGCCTCTGTTTCTCATACGGATCCACATCCTCTGTAAAAGTCACCCAGTCAGAGTAATTGCTTACAGACTCTTCAAAAGTAGAGGCTGCCAACATCACTAAGGCTAGAAATAAGGAATGTCCTGTAAACATTAGAGCCATGATCCATTAGGCAGTTTCCTCCCTTCGGGCATACACCTCTTTCGAAAAAACAAAACCACTGTTCAGATTTCAAACATGAATCAGACTCGCCAGCGTGGGAAAAATACACTTGAAAGCTTTTTACGCAATCCCAGGCGGCAGTAGCGGAGGGGACCTTGTGCTACCAGGTACACACAGTTCTGAGCTGAAGCGATCAGTTGACACAGCACTGGAAAAACGCTGGTGTGCAGGCGCTTAGACTAGAAACCCTTTGGCCACGCTGAAAAGTGTTTTTTGCCCAGAGGGCTAAAAAACAATGAAACCTTTCACTAGCTTCCATGTACATTAGACTAACAAGTAAATTTAATGACAGAAAGGATGTCTATTGAACCATGAAGAAAAACACATCCAGGGTGTTACTCGTGGAAGTGTTCTTCTTTAGTTTTGTTTTTTTAAAAAATATATCATTGATTTCTTCTGTTATGATAGGATGGCACTGATAACAATACATGTACAGCAAATGAGGAAACAAATGTAATTTAGTGCCAAAGATATGAACTAATGAGTTCAAGTTGCCCTCTTCTGTCCCATTCTCTCCTAGTTCACACACATCCGCAGAAGTTTGTCCTTTATTTTGGTGGGGAAGGGATACTCTGCAAAATGTCTCCACTGGCCAATTTTGGCAGAGCTGCCATCCTTCTCACACTTGCTAACCTCCAGTTGTGAAAACTCTGTTGGGTTTGATGATCGTCTAACACACTCGCTGCTTTCATGTCGCCTTTCATTATCTTCAGGTCCTCATCAGTCTGTGAAGCCAGACCCTGTCTCTGAGTTTCAATTAGTTCTATTGCCTCATCACAAAGCCAAATTAAAAATATGAAATGGGATGCACAGATAGCTGGCTCTGGAATCTGTTCGCTTTGCATGTTGATCTCCTCTGTTAAAACAAACAGACAAACATGTGTCCCTTAAAATGTACAAGAAAAGTGTTCATATGATAGCCAACTACTGGTTTTGTTTTTTAAAGATCATCTCACTGTAAATAGTTTTTCTACATATTCATGTCAGAAGTAATATGATGTTAACTTTTTAACTGTTTTTAAAATCTACTTTTTAATAGATTTTACTTCTAACTGAATAACTGTTCAGTATTCAGAAAATCCCATAAATTGATGTAATGCTTCATTTAGTAAAGCACTACTTTACTAGTTAAGCAAAATAGCCTTCCTTCAAAAGCACAATCTGGACTGCTATTTGCCTGTCATCTTCAAACATAACAGAATTAACAAAAGTTGTTGTTGTTGTTTTAACGCCAAGCTGTTCTACAATTAAGACACCCATTCATGTCTCTGTACACTGCAACCTGCAACACAAACGGCTTTTTCTTTTTCAAAGGCAAACTTTACAATTAAAAAAATCCCGCAATGCAATCGTTGTGCATAACTGTGTACATTTTGCAGTTGTGCCCCCCACCCTATCTTCACCTGTGACTTACTAATCGAGACAGTCCCTTGCAAGTCACCAGAGGGCGCTATGAGCCAATTAGTATACCCCCCAAATAAATGTCTCCGGGCTGAAGAAGTTAGAGCAAGTTTTTCTTTGCCAACAGCTGCAAATATTTAAAAGTCATCGCCAACAGGAGGTCGGCCGTACAGAACCAAACAAAGAGAAAAAGACCTCATGCTCTCCCTTTACATTGTTTAACAAACGTTTTTAAGAAAGACGTACCTTAAAAAGCAGCCTACTTTGGGGGTCGGGGGTCGTATCCCATCAGCAATGATGCCAGTATATCAAGAGGAAACAGGAGTAGAACTATCCGGTTGCCACATCGCTCCTTTCTCTTCTTCTCCCCCTCCTCTTCTAGCTGGATTTGCATTCGCCCGGTTTCGTTTTAAGTAGCGAAGCCTGAACTTCAGCTGCCCATCGAAAGGCTCTGTCCCCAGACCTGGGTGCCGCCTGTCATTTCTCCGGTTCCCATCCTTTGCTCTCTCTCCCCCTCCGAGAAAGAAAAAAAGTGCAATGATGCTGCTACTACATCTGAGTTCGAACTTCCATCAAGCCAGCTCCGAAACGACTTTCCAAATGGGGAAGAAGGCAGCCAGTGTCAATCAAGAAAAAAAAAGTGGTCCTGCATGCAGAGCAAGGGATTGTTCTCTTCCCTTTTCTCGAGGAATCGCCACCAGCCGCCTGGAGCCGTCTTCCAGATGCAACTCCTGCAAAGAACTTGACTCCCGCCGCGGCGATCCGCGGACGCGGGATGCCGCTCGACCCCCAGGGCAGACTCCGCCGGAGGCTTCTCCGGCTGGGACTCAGCCGCGTTCCTTCCCGCTCCGGCTGCTGGCTGGCGGCGGCAACCGGCGTCTGGCTCCCTCGCTCAGCTCCGCCGCTGCGGTCGGCAGTTCAGGCAGCCGAGAAGGCAGCAAGAGCCGAGGCGGCGGCGGCGGCGGCGGCGGCAGCAAATCTCTCAAGCCAGGCGGAGCGAGGGCGGGTCTTGCCGCTGCCTTCGCCAGAACAGGAATGTGCTCATTTTCAGCTCGGCTTTGTAACGCCTGCTGGGCGCCCCCGTCCCACTGAGCATGTGCAGAGGCCGCGCACACATGCTCCGCGCCAGACGGTGAAGCCGCTGCCCTTAGCCTGCCCTGAGCTCAGCTCCTGCAAGCTCAGGGGAGGAAAGGAAGGTGGCTGGGGGCAAGACATTGGAAATGGGGTTGGGGGGAGGTGGGATCAGCGGTGTTAGGAGGGTGAGAAAAGGTGCGAGCGAGCGAGTCAAGAGGGGTTCTTGCTTTGATCTGAAACCCCTTCCCGAATGTTTGTGCAGGCTGAGATTTAACAGCCTCTCCAGGATTAAGTGGAAATACAGTGTTTAGGAAATTCAGAGGTGTCCTATCGCCAAATCTTCATCGTCAGCATCATCCTAACCAAGAATGCAGAGCAAATTTAAGAAGCAAAAGTTGCTGTGTTGGTCCATATGGGGAAGGGGAGCAATGCAAAAGCCACATTTCAGCAATACAGTGGTACCTCGGGTTACATACGCTTCAGGTTATATACGCTTCAGGTTACAGACTCCGCTAACCCAGAAATAGTGCTTCAGGTTAAGAACTTTGCTTCAGGATGAGAACAGAAATCGTGCTCCGGTGGCGCGGCAGCAGCAGGAGGCCCCATTAGCTAAAGTGGTGCTTCAGGTTAAGAACAGTTTCAGGTTAAGTACGGACCTCCGGAACGAATTAAGTACTTAACCCGAGGTACCACTGTAATGGTTTGGGAGACCAGCTTTTGAGTTTTTCAGAAGTCTTCACCAGGGTGGATGAACCCTGATACTACTGAGCAAGATGGACCAATGACCTGACTCTATGAGGCAACTTAATATGTTCTGATGGCCTTGTAATTACTGAAATGATTGCTGCTCTTTCATTTGGTGGCCTCTGCGTCACTCGATCTAATGGTAGGGCTGACCCTACTTCACATTCTCCCTGCCCCCCAGCAGATCGAACAGAGCGGGTGGCACTGTGGTCTAAACAACTGAGCCTCTTGGGCTTGCTGATCAGAAGATCGGTGGTTTGAATCTGTGTGAAGAGTGAGCTCCCGTTGCCCTGTCCCAGCTACTGCCAACCTAGGAGTTCGAAAGCACGCCAGTGCAAGTAGATAAATAGGTACCGCTGCAGTGGGAAGGTAAATGGTGTTTCCGTGCACTCTGGCTTCCGTCGTGGTGTTCCATTGTGTCAGAAGCAGTTTAGTCATGCTGGCCACATGATCTGTCTATGGACAAACGCCTGCTCCCTCGGTCTGAAAGCGAGATGAGCGCCGCAACCCCATAGTCATGTTTGACTGGACTTAACCGTCCAGGGGTCCTTTACCTTTTACAGCCTCGGAACCTGGAAGATGCATTGAGCCATCATGGCTCATAGTCACTGATCAACTCCTCATCCATGCATTTGTCTAATCCACTTAAAAGTCATCTAAGGTAGTGGCAGTTGTCAAATCTCATGGCAGAGGGTTAATTATATGCAGCTAGTAATCGGAGAAAAATGAACCTGCTTGGCTAATATGTCTGTTTCAGGTGTGAGGAACATTTTCAGCCACATTCCCTTCAACCTTCTGGGGTCCACATGCCGGTGGTGTGGGGAGAGGTAAAAGTGGGAACTGAGCAGAGAAACAAATGTGAATGTTAGCTTTGGATGGAGGCTAGTTTCTGCACACATTTTCCTCCACTGAGACAAGCAAGAAGTATTTCCAGAGATCCTCAAGGGGAGTTCAAAGCAGGGCCAGTAGTAATGGGGTGTGGCTTGAGGAGAATCCCAAGGGCCAGAGGCCAGGGAGGAATATTTGGTCTCCGGGTCTGGGGTTTCCCATCCCAGTTTTAGAGCCCCCTTGAGGGAAAAGTACGAACCTCTCACAACATCAGACACATCACTCCACAGCCTTTTGGGATTCACAGTGCGGTCTTGCTCCTTGCAGCTCATCTGACCCAACGTCCCATAGTGAAGGCTCCAAGACTGAGGTATCAGCTATGTAATGCAGGATGGGAACTCAACCCTGCATCTGTCACACAGCCTTCCCCAACCCGGTGCCCTCCAGATCTTTAAACTACAACTCTCAGCAACCTGACAATTAGCCATGCTGACTGGGGATAATGGGAGTTGTATTGCAAAACAATGTATGGCAAAACAATGTATTGCATGGCACCAGATTGAGGAAGGCTTCCCTCACATATGTGGCCTGGAGGCTCTGCAAGGCTTTGAATGTGAACACCAGTGCCTTGACTGGAGTTTGGAAGCTAACTGGCAGCTAGTAGAGTTGCTGACTTTCTGTCCAGCACCCTTCATTGGGTGACAGTGGTGTTTGTGAGTCACTGAGAAAAGGGAGCCCTAGCAGTCAAACCTAACGGTTTCAAGAGCAGAAAATAGCTTGAAAGGGTTTCAAAGACCTGAGGGGAGAGAAAAAGATGGGAAGAAGATAATAATGCCGCTTTCAGTTCTTAATATCAAGGACAAAAACTGTACAACGGGGGAACAGTCAGGTTCAAAACCTTAAAAGGAAACAGAAGGGTAGCAAAGAGCAATATAATTTAAAGTAGAGATAGCTCCTTGTTTGTACCAGAAGGAAAGGAAGTTATAACGTAAAGGTTACCTTCAGACTCTTAATCCATTATTAGACCTACTCAAAGTAGACCCTTTGAAATTAATGGACATGGCTAATTTAGGCCTGCTAATTTCAGTCGGTCTATTCTGAGTAGGAGTTAGCTGGCTACAGCGCTCCCTTTTCGTAGGAAGGGTTCATTTGAATACTGGAAATTTAGGTTTGCACAATTAAAAGTGGATTAAAGAGCTCAGGCACAAGAAGCCTACTTTTTCTTTTTGAAGGATCTTTTGCATTTAAGAAAGTGATGGGGAAATGCAGTGGCGGAGCTTCAAGCTCTGGTACGGGGGGCGGAGAGCGGGCAGGGGCAGGGCTGGCGTGCGTCCCGGGGGCATGGCGCGCCACCCAAAGGGGCGGGTTGTGTGTTCTGGGGGCGGGTGTGCATTCTGGGGGCAGGGCTTCCAGTGCGGGCAGGAGGTGATGGAACCCCATCGGGATCATGCTGCCTCCGCCAGTGGGGAAATAAACTAATAAGTGTGGGATAATCAACTGATTAACGGGAAGATGTGTAAGGAAATTGGGATGAAGTGAGGAGGGATGCGAACAAATCAAAACAAATGCTTAGTAAAGCTCAGACATTGTCTTTCCTTCGCATAAGCTTTGGGAAAGCAAATCAGGATCAATGTTCAATAAACAGATTTTCTCTGGGAGAGCCCTAAAATCTCTCATAGTAAATATGTGGGGAGTGGGGCATGGAGAGGTTGTATTTTGATGGTAGTGGCAATTGAAGGCCAAACATTTAACACTTAATGAACATCATACAGTGATGTCTCTGGATTTTCCTTGACTTCAAATGAGGGGAGGGGGATGTTGTTATCTAAGCTGCAACACACAGGGAGGGGAGATTTATCGCTGTCTCCCTCCAGCTATGATTGGGATTACAATCCCCTCTCCTTGTGGCAAGGCAGTCTGGATAACAATGCCTGCCCCCCACCAAAAAATATATGCAATGAAAGTGAGTCTCAAGATGTTGCTGTAGGCATCTCACGAAGCACAAAAATTAATTATTTTAAAGCTTTAAAATACCCTTAAAATACCTACAATGTAAAATCAATCTTCATTAAAACAAAAATACAACCTAAAACTAATAAAACAGTACGAAAATATTAAAAAGCAAATAAAGCAGAGATTTGGGGGATTCTTATGCATAAATCAGGGTCCAGTTTTCTGGTTCAAGGAAAAGCATTTGAAGCCACTGTTGACCGTTGCTTCACCTCTGAATTACATTCCACATTACAGGGGCAGCAGCAGAAAATGCCTATTTTTGAGACACTGCCCTAGTGATATTCTGTAGGGCGCAGTGCATTTTGGCCCTGAGTGTCATGAAGTAGTGATCCTGTGAGCAAGTATCACTGGGTGGAGCCCCTCAGGCAGATGGTAACAATTAGCCCCCAAGTGGGAGCCTGTGATGGGGCTGGCTGGTTGCCAGCATTCCCCAGCCCCTATAAATATTCAAGTTAACCTTCTGGAGCGGGAGAGAACACACCATGTTTTAGACTTGCCGTTTGATGTTCTGTAGCTGGTGCTGGAGAAGAAGCCAATCCAACCTGGTAACCCGTTCGGTGCCTGTGTGTGATTGATTAGTAGCTTGGAGGGAGGACTCGGGTAAGCGACCCCCTCCTTGGCACCGAGATGAATGGGAGACTTGCTTAGGTGTCACTAGGGGGCAGGCTGGGCTGGGACTTCTTATGCCGAGAGTATCTGCAAAGGCTTTCTGGAACCATTTCAAAGCAATTGTCTTATTCTGTTGCTTTTGCACACTATCCCATTTGCAGAACCTGTTTTGTTGCTCTGCGGAGACCTCTCTTTGCTTTGTTTCATTTTCATCAGTTACACTGGAATGAAATTAGTCACTTGGTCAAATATTTAAAGACACTGGGCTCCAGGGGGTTCAGATCTTGTTCTTGGTATAAGCATCGCAGGCATTGCTTTGTATCACACTAAAGGAGTGTGACACAAACTAAATTGGTGACTGGGCAAATGTAGCCCCTATGCTGGGCTTGGGTCTTTTGAGAATATTTGTTGAAAAGCAACATTGCACATTCTTTTGTAATTCAAGAAAATCTTTAATAAAAATTATTTCAGAAAATGCTTTTATTAGTCGTACTATCCTTGCACTTGTCCTTATGCTTCACAAGCAGTATAATATCCAATTCCCATATAAAAGATGTCATGAGGTGGGGCTACAGGTGCACCCCCACAGCCCCTTTCCTCAGCCTCTGAAGCAATAATGCAAGTCACACATGGAGGTGGCTTAAGAAGCATGTGTTTACTGCATGAAAAACCAAGTTAGCAAAATTCACAGTACAGTGCAGAAGGCAACATAATTATCTTTTTTTATTTATTTAGGAGCGTTGTTAGTGTGAATGGAGACTGTACTACAAATGACTCAGTTGGT